ATATATATATATATATATATATATATATATATATATATATATATATATATATATATATATATATATATATATATATATATATATATATATATATATATATATATATATATATATATATATATATATATATATATATATATATATATATATATATATATATATATATATATATATATATATATATATATATATTTACACATATCAACACTCTCCCTCAAGCTTGAGCATATAAGTCAAATGCACCAAGCTTGTTACATATATAGTTAGTTCTGGAGCTTCGTAGGGATTTTGTAAACACATCTGCCAATTGATCATTAGAGTTGACAAAGTTTGTGACGATGTCGCCTGACTCGATCTTCTCTCTGACAAAGTGACAATCTATCTCAATATGTTTGGTCCTCTCATGGAAGACTGGATTTGAAGCAATGTGCAATGCAGCTTGATTATCACAAATAAGTGTCATTGGTCTTACTTCTTCAATTTGAAGTTCCTTGAGCAACTGTTTTAACCAAATAAGTTCACATGTTGCCATTGCCATGGCCCTATACTCTACCTCGGCACTTGATCTTGCAACTACATTTTGTTTCTTACTTTTCCAGGAGATAAGGCTTCCTCCAACAAGTACACAATACCCAGAGGTGGATCGTCTATCAATGGGTGACCCTGCCCAATCAGCATCAAAGTATCCAATTATCTGGGTATGTCTTTTATCCTCATACACAAGACCTTTTCCTGGAGCACATTTGATGTATCTCAAAATCCGGATAACAGCATCCATGTGTTCCTGACAAGGAGAATTTAATAACTGGCTTACCACACTGACTGCAAAAGAAATGTCCGGACGAGTGACGGTGAGATAATTCAACTTTCCAACCAATCTCCTATATCTTCCTGAGTCAGATAAAGTCTCCCCCTGATTGGGTAGTAGTTTAACACTTGGATCCATAGGAGTATCAGCTGGTTTAGCATTTAACAAACCTGTTTCTTCCAAAATATCCATAGCATATTTCCGCTGAGAAATGACCAGACCATCTTTAGATTGGGCTACTTCAATACCCAAGAAATAGCGGAGTTTACCAAGATCTTTTGTCTGAAATTGTTTCGAGAGATGTTGTTTCAATTGGAGTATTCCCTGCTGATCACTACCAGTTATGACAATGTCATCTACATACACAATAAGATAAATACACCATTGGGGTGACCATAAAGCTCTCGGAGATTGCTTAAGACCATAAAGAGACCTGTGTAGCCTACAAACCATATTCGATGACTCCCCCTGAGCAACAAACCCAGGTGGTTGCTCCATATATACTTCCTCTTCAAGATCACCATGTAAGAATGCATTTTTGATGTCAAGTTGATGAAGAGACCAATGTCGAATGGCTGCAATGGCTAGAAGAAGTCTAACAGATGCCATCTTGGCTACAGGCGAGAAGGTATCACTATAATCCAACCCAAAAATTTGAGTGTATCCTTTGGCTACCAAGCGGGCTTTAAATCGATCAATCTTGCCATCTGGACCAACCTTCACTGTATAAAGCCAACGACAACCTACTAAAGATTTCCCATGGGGTAGAGGAACCAGTTCCCAGGTACCACTGCTTTGAAGAGCACACATTTCATCAATCGTTGCTTGCCTCCACTCAGGGTGAGATAATGCTTCACATGTAGTTTTAGGAATAGAAACAGAAGACAAAGAAGACAAACAAGTATACTGCAAAGGGGAAAGACGATGATAACATAAATCAATATAATGTGGAGAAGGATTTTGTGTTTGACGTATACCTTTTCGAAGGGCAATCGAAAGATCAGACTCAGGTTGCAGGATCGAATCCGGTGATGGCGAGAGCGTCAGAGGAGAGTCTGTAGTGACCTCAGGGATAGGTACGACTTCAGAGACAGGTACGACCGTAGTGACTTCAGGGACAGGTACGACTTCAGGGATAGGTACAACAGACTTTGGGTGACGACGCTGATATGTTTGAAGTGGGCGAGGAGTGGAGGGGTCAACCGTAGGGGTAACTAGTGAGTCAGGTTCTCTAGAATGATGGGGGATAATGACAGATGGGACTTTCGGAAGAGGTGTGGGAATACTTTCCTGTAGAGGTTCCGTAGTAACTTGACTGGATCCGAAATATGGAACAGACTCGAAGAAGATAACATCGGCGGATACGAGGTATCGTTGTAGAGTATGTGAGTAGCAACGATAACCTTTTTGGGATCGATGATAGCCAAGAAAGACACACTTTAGTGATCGAGCTGATAGTTTATCAAGACCAGGGGGGAGATTGTGTACAAAACACGTGGACCCGAAGACTCGAGGAGGAATTGGGTGGAGTGGAGAGTTTGGAAACAAGATTGAATGAGGGATTTTATTATTAAGGACAGATGATGGCATGCGATTTATGAGGTAACATGTCGTGAGCACTGCATCTCCCCAAAACCGGAGAGGAACATTACCATGGAGAAGTAGGGTCCGAGTGGTTTCTACGAGGTGCCGATTTTTGCGTTCGGCTACCCCGTTTTGTTGGGGTGTATGAGCGCAAGATGTTTGGTGCAAAATACCATTGGATGACATAAATGTTTGAAATTGTTAGGATAAATATTCGCGTGCATTGTCACTTCTTAAGGTACGAATAGACAAAACAAATTGGGTTCTTATTTCTCGATAAAATTGTTCAAAAATGGAAAACAATTCAGATCTATTCTTCATTAAAAATAACCACGTGCAACGTGAAAAATCATCAATAAAGGTGACAAAATACCTAGACTCAAGAGTAGAGACAGTACACAAGGGACCCCAAACATCAGTGTGAACTAAAGCAAAAGGGGACGAAGCTCGTTTGTTGGGTACCTTCGATAATGTAAATTAGATACCTTCGATAAATTAGATACCTTCGATAAATTTGGCACCAACTTATGTAATTTGGAAAGACTGGGATGACCTAACTGAGCATGGATAGTGAGTGGAGAATCTTTGGTTGAGCATGTCTGAGATGACAATGAAAAGTAGTAAAGGCCTTGAGACTCATATCCGACACCAATCGTCTTTCCCGAACTCCGATCCTGCAGGGTAACATTATTATTAGTGAAGGTGATACTACAATCAAGAGAACGAGTTAAACGACTGACTGAAAGTAAATTAAATGGACAATTAGGTACATAGAGGACAGAAGTAACAGATAGAGAAGGTAGAATTTGAACAGTATCAATCCCTTCGGATCGGGTTTGAGAACCATTGGCCGAAGTTATAGTAGGTAAGAAACCAGAGGTAGAGAGGGAAGAGAACAAATTTTTATTACCAGTAACATGATCAGACGCACCAGAATCAAAGACCCAAGGTCGAAGAGGAGATGATTGAGAGACGCAAACAGATAAATTACCAGTGTGTGCTACCTTAGCAGTAGAATCTGAGTTCTGATAATTCTGATACCACCTGAGGAAATCATCGTAGTTTGGCGTAAAGTTCTGAGGAGTAGCCATGAGTATCTGAAGAGAGAAAATATCACGCGATCGATCGCTGGCCGGACGTGCTGTCACGTGCGTTTCAGGTGGCGGCGCTTGATGCCCACGCGCAGAGACGGAAGTGGCGCGTGTGGAGGTTTTTGCCGATGAAAAAGTTTGCCAGAAGGTCGTTGAGAATAGCAACGACGGCGGCAGCTATGCGGTTATGACCGGAGAATTTTGAAAAGTGAGACAAACCGGAGTGACAACACGGTTTGCAAAAAAAAAAAATTTTTTTTTAATTTCTCACCGGAAGACAGTGGGTCAACCGGGTAAAACACGGCGAAGAAAGAATTGCCTCTTAACAAGCTCTAGATACCATGTTGAAATACAAGAGACTAAGAGACATTTGAATAAACCGTGTGTTTTGAAAAGCACTATGGAGACATTATTATATATAAATAGAATACAAGTAATTACATGATATAGTCGATGTGGGACTATTCTATATACAAATATTCTCAACACTATATATATATATATATATATATATATATATATATATATATATATATATATATATATATATATATATATATATATATATATATATATATATATATATATATATATATATATATATATATATATATATATATATATATATATATATATATATATATATATATATATATATATATATATATATATATATATATATATATATATATATATATATATATATATATATATATATATTTACACATATCAACAAATATATTTAATCTAACAATTCTGTTTAAATTATCCGCTCACTTTAACCAACTTTTTCAAAATACAAATATTAGTTATTTTTTTGTTAAGTGGTTGAACTTGAACTCATTAATTTTTCATTTGGCTTCACACAATATTTGAGTATATATCTATCAAATTATTGTACAAAAGCATAGAAAGTAAGTATATATTCATATGCTTTGCGTCTAGCATTTGTTCAAAGTTCAAACCATATCCCACCTATCTAGTATCTAAAATATAATTAATGGAATACCCAAATTGTTAGAACTGCCACAATGTTTAATGCACACTTGAGAGGTATGAATATGATCATGGGGTTGAAATAATGGTATTGTAATTCCTTTAAAAAAATTATTTTATTTATAGTTTTTTAATTGAAAGTCAATTAGACTCATTTCGATTTACTTGATCTAGCTAGTTCTTGTGCATTCCAATAATGACAATCCATAATGAACATAGTCAGATGATTATACAAGATGTTAACGAATTGTAGCATTACCAGATTCTTTAACCTCTCTTGTTGAATAAACTCTCTAACAGGTCAGTAAGGAGTAGTTGTGAAAAAAATTCTGCATTGAAAAGTTCATGACAGCAAAGATCACAAGATAATAAAGAGTTCACATATAACAAAAGCACTTGTAGCACTATATAGTTATTATGTCCGTTGAAAACAATATTAGAAAATGTTAAACAAAAAACCTTAATATCACTTCCAGTATATCATTCTGTCATGTTTGTGTTCTCATAATTTTTCCCTGTTCTCATGAGATGGCAGTCCTACCATAATTCTGCATTACAACAAAAAGTGGAGAAGATGAAAAAACTCAACAAACATACTTGAAAAACGCAGAAATCTAGTGGCTTAGTACCTCCTTACGAATCACCTTATAAACAGTATCTATCTACGTAAGTATGGACCGAAATACAATAGTAACCAAACAAAAATGCATAACTATGGTTAGTTCTAATACTTACAAGGTAACAAAAAAGGAGATGCTTACTGATTTTATACTCATTACCATCTTGACAGGGTTGTTTTTAATCTTTGCAAGAGTTTCCTGTTTCCTCTGGCAAATCATCAGCAAGGGATCAAAATGGAGCTTTCTCCAAGCATCATTAGCACACTGAGGCTTGTCCTCAAAATAAAGCTCCAGGAATTTCTGCAATTTGAAATCCAGTTGGTGAAGTAAGAAGCTTGGCATCATCATCCAAGATCTCAATTGAGTAGAGAACTTCCAGTGCTCAGATCATTGCTTCAGGTGATGGAGATGATGGCTAGTCAAATCCTAATATATTATCAGTTCCAAAGCCTTTAACTGGGAATCATCAAAAAAATGTCTTAAGTAATTATATTTAGGATCAACCACAAACCTTACCTATAATACACACCAAAATACACTCAATTGCAGCAACAATAGTCTGTAATAGCACTCAAATGGAACTATATCACCCATATACCTCATTGAACACAGGGCTGTCTTCCTTTATCATTCGGGATAAAAGGAGAAATAAAATAATATAAAAAAGTAATACATAACCAGGATGCAAAAAGTTGTTCAATCACTTCAACCTTCAATTTTAGAGGTGGAAAACCCTCAACGATAATCATTAGCATCCAAGATTACACACATGAGACAAGATTAGATCTCTGTATCTCTGAAATTCCCTCAATAGACATGTGGCTAAGAAAATATATATATTTTCTACTACAAAAAATCAAGAGCTGTCCAACTAAAAGGTTGTTTGCCCTTGGACCATGACATCTTAAAGGATGACCGTGCTGACGCAACCATCGAGGTCCATACACCATAATTTTAGCAGAAGTTACATTAAACAAGAACTAAGGAAACGACAATCTAGAAATCTGAAAACAATTAACAATTAACAAGATAGAACCTCATATTCTCAATCTAAAAAGAGCAGGAAAAAACTGCATGTCCTATCAAAGTAAAGAATACTAGTTTCATCAATCCAATTACAAAATCCCTTCAGCATAAGGCAAAATAACATGAGCTAGGAATACAAACAATATCACTCACATAAATTCAAAAACAAGTAACACAAATCAATAACCAACTTCATCAGTTGGAAAAACAAAACTGAAAGTATGCTAAATTCAATGACATCGCAGATCGAGTAAAAAGATACAAATGAATCACATAGATTAGGCTTCTATACAACTTAACATCACTGATTCCATTAATTAAAAAAATTTAAATTGATTAAGAAATGAATGAAATGGAATTAAACCTAAGAGATGAGAGGAGTCTTTGAGTTTACTAGTGAAGCCACAGATGGGAGAGTCATTAGGAGTGTCCTTGACGAGATAAACGTAAGTGAAGCCGCCTTCTCCGAGCTGTCTCATGAAGCGGAAACAATTATAGCTGGCTTTTTGGCACCTGAAACTGGAGCACGTTTCACAAGTGTTACAAATCACATATTTATCTAATTATCCAACTATAATGTGCAAGGAGTACTGCATACTCTAATTAAACAACACCTGTTGTATGTTTCATAGAGAATAGTAGATGGAGGAAGTATAAAAATCACAGACCTCTAAAAATAATGCTCCAATGGATTTGATGTGACCAATAATTAATTTAGTAGTGTATATTTATTCGAAATGCATAACAAATGCTCATGTAAATTTAGATATGTATGGTACACAAGTTAAGGGAGAGTCAATCAAATGCAGAATCAATCAAATGCAGAAACAATTATATTATAATGAAAAGCGTCCAATAAAAAAGCTGAATCAAAGCTCTGAATTAAAGTACTGATGAATTATACAGGTTTGGAATGTTTTAAAAAAATAGTGAGATAGATAAATTATAAAAGTAGATGAGAGAAACACGTTTTATAACACACATGAAATAAAAAACCTAACATTGTTATGAGTAATCCACATTAAAAATAAAAAAGAACCCAAATACTATAGATGAAAAATATAGAGATGCGTAGTAAGTACCTGTATAAAACTGGATTAACTTCAAATCAGGATATAAAAAGAAAGTGAAGTTGAAAAATCTTGAATATAATGTGTACCAAATAATTTATCATGATTTTTTAGCAATAATCATAATAAATATACAGTAAGTTTGTTGATCAAGGTAAGAATGCAAAAATCTCAAGCTTTATTGATGTTGCAAACTTTACTCGATAATGAAAACAGAAAGTTGAGGCTGTATAAGTAGCCTTACAAAAAAACTGCTTAAAACTAAAACTCCTAATTTTCAGCCCTCTATGCTAAATAATAGGACTTACTAGAACTGCTCCTTTTGACTAGGAATTTATTAACCGACTAAAATTCAAATACTAATTAAAACAAATATTAATATTTCAACAATTCCTCCCCTAAACTAAGTATGCATACTGCATTTTAGTTTAATCTTCTGCTGCTTGTACTCCCAGCTGCTTCCGAATTTTCTCAAATTGGTCCAACTTCAATGGCTTGGTCATGATATCTGCAAGCTGATCATTTGTTCTACAGAACTCCATAATAACAACTCCGTCCTTAGTTAGATTTCTCAGAAAATGAAATCTCACGTCTATGTGTTTGCTTCTCCCATGAAAAACTGGATTTTTGGCAAGCTTAATGGTAGAAGAATTGTCGCAAAACATTGTAACACAATCAGATTGAGAACCTTTAATTTGTTTTAGAATGTGTTGCATCCAAATACACTGGCAAGCACAAGATGCCGCTGCTACGTATTCGGCCTCAGTTGTAGAAAGAGTAACTACTGGCTGCTTCTTGGAGGCCCATGCAACAGCTCCACCACTTAACATAAATACATAGCCTGAGGTGCTTTTCCGGTCATCTATGTCACCGGCATAATCGCTGTCCGTGTAAGCTACTAACTCATCCTTGCACCCCTTCCAATAGAAGATGCCTAGATCAATTGTTGACTTAATATACCTTAAAATTCTTTTGGCTGCAAGCATGTGTGCTTCCTTTGGATTTGACATGAACCTACTAATAAGACACACACAATACATTAAGTCAGGCCTGGTTGCTGTCATATACATCAAACTCCCCACCATCTGCTTGAAAAGAGTTCCATCAACTTGTTTTCCTTCCTCTTCTCTTGACAGCTTAATACTCCCAGGGACTATGGGATTTTTTACTCCATTACAATTTCCCATGCCAAATCTCTCGAGAACTTCTCCTGCATACTTCTTCTGGCTTATGTGTATTCCTCTCGCATTTTGACGCACTTCAACTCCTAGGAAGTACTTCATTTCGCCTAGATCAGTCATCTCGAATTCTCGTTTCATAGAATTTTTGAATCCTTGCATCATGATCAGATTATTACCGGTAAAAATAAGATCATCAACATAAAGACTTACAATCAATATTTTCTCTTTTTCTTCTTTGATGAACAAAGTGTATTCATAGCAGCTCCTTTTGAAACCTTCATTGAGGAAGTAGCTTTCGATCCTGCTGAACCATGCTCTTGGAGCCTGCTTCAACCCATAAAGTGCCCTTTTTAGTTTGTAAACTTTGCTTTCCTCCCCTTTTACTTCATATCCTTGCGGTTGTGATACATATACATTCTCATGCAACTCTCCGTGCAAAAATGCACTCTTGACATCCAATTGATAGAGTTTCCAGCCATTTCTTGCTGCTAGTGCTATCACCATTCGGATAGTATCCCATCTTGCAACCGGGGCAAAAACTTCATCGTAGTCTACACCTTTCTCCTGTGCATAACCCTTGGCCACCAAGCGAGCTTTGCACTTGCTAACTTCACCGTTTTCATCACACTTTGTTCTGTAGATCCACTTTACACCTATTATTTTTGCTTCTGAGGGAGGTTGAACTAGCTCCCAGGTTTGGTTCTTTTTTATTGCTGCTATTTCCATGTCCATGGCATCTCTCCAATTTTTCTCTTTTACTGCTTCTTCATAATAAATTGGATCAGTAGGCATAAACAGAAGAAAATTTGGTGCCTCATCTTCTGATAATTCACCTCCACTTGTATAGTCTTGAAGGTAGATTGGAGCCTTTCTTGTTCTCTTTGCTGTGGTTGGTGGAGTTGTCGCTTCATTTGACGAGGAATCCTCAATTTCTAAGTGTTCTTCTTCTGATTCACTCGTGGTATTTTCATCTTCATGTTCATCTAATTCCTCAATTTCTTCCTCATAGTCTTCACCCCAATCAAGTGCATCACTTTTTGATTTTGCATCTGTCCTCCCCCAATTCCAGCAGCCATTTTCCTCAAATATTACATCTCGACTGATTGTTACCTTCATAGTTGAAGGATTTATCATTTTGTATCCTTTTGATTTCTCACTGTATCCAATGAATACTTGCTTTTGGCTTCTAGCATCAAGTTTGAGTCTTCTAGCTTCTGGTACATGAACATTTCCTACACATCCGAATACTTTAAAATGCTCGACGCTGGGCTTGAGACCACTCCAACACTCTTCTGGTGTCTTGTCTTTTACAGCAGATGTGGGGCTTCTGTTGAGCACATGGCAGGCCCATTTTGCAGCTTCTGGCCAAAACATTTTTGGCAGTCTCTTCTCTTCCAATATGGAGCGTACCATATTCATAATTGTGCGATTCTTGCGCTCAGCGACTCCGTTTTGTTGAGGTGTATAAGCTGTGGTCAATTGTCGCTTGATTCCTTGAGCTTTACAGAAGTTTGAAAATTCATTTGAATTGAATTCTCCTCCTCTGTCTGTTCTTAAACAACACAATGACAAACTAGTTTCCTTCTCTGCCATGGTTTTAAATTCTTTGAAAATAGTGAAGGCTTCACTTTTCTCATTTAGAAAGTAAACCCAAAGTTTTCGACTGAAATCATCAATAAATATCAGTATGTACCTTTTGTTTCCATGTGATTCAGGAGAAATTGGACCGCATATATCCGAGTGAATAAGTTGCAGTTGCTGTTTGGCTCTCCAGATGCTTTTCTTAGGAATAGCTTCTCGATGTTGTTTTCCAACCATGCAGCTTGTACAGATTTTTGATGAAGCATTCAATTTTGGAAGCCCTCGAACCAATTTCTTGTTATGCAACAACGCCAAATTCTTATAGCTCAAATGACCAAACCTTTTGTGCCATATTTCACCAAGGTTATCAACATTTGCTTTGAAGCATGTAGATGTTGATATAAGAATGTTTGTTGTCACAAGAAACATTCTGTTGGTGGTCATTATGCTTTCCATTATGCAGCCTCTGTTCGGATGATATAGCTTGCAA